TCAGAGTATTTTAAAAAAATTATTTTTAATTTAATTTTTTAACATAAATTATTAATAATTAAGCATGATTGTATACTACAATATAAATATTAATTTTAAATTTAAAATATAATTTATATGTTTGAAAATATTTATTTATAAAAATTTTAAATATAATTTATATATTTAAAAATAATACTTAATTATATATATAATCTATTATAAATTTTAATTATATAATAAACATTTAACTTATAAATTACATACATTTTTACATATTACTCAACTGACTAATAAATTAACTTTAAATCAAATAATAAAGTTAAATTTTCAATTTTCATATATGTGTGTGTGGGGTACAATATAAAATTTCAATTAAATATCTAAAAACGTATGAAGGTGTGACGCACAGAGTCGTATTGCTTTTGACCGTTTTAACGCGGTTTTACGCCGCCTCTTTGAAGTGGTCATTAGTGGAAGTCGAATTCAGAATGGTGTAATTAATCATCAACCCTTAAAATTCGAAGGGAGTAAGTGAAACTGAAAGGTGGAAACTGATATTGGCTTTGTTATTCAGATCCATCAAATATCATAGAACCACTCGTGCAAATTTTGTTTGTCCACACCACACATTTTGGGAGAAAATGCAACGAAGAAAAAATTATTAATTTAAATACAATTTCATCAATGGGATGAGAATGTTGAATTTGAAACGTATACGCGTAAAAAGCTCCACCTTAGAATGTTGAAATGCCATTTTATCTTTTTTATTTGTTTTTAATTAAACATGTAAATAATATATTTTGTTCTAAGAATATATCTAGGAACATATTAGTATGTTAGCATATTTTGCACGAAAAAAACACAAAATTCATGATACGCTAATAGTAGGAAAAAAAAAACTCAACAATAAAAATTGTTAATGATAGTAATTCCACTAAACTAATTTAAATTTTTAACATACTAATAGTTAAAAAAAAGAACTTCAAAATAACTTCACTTCATATGGTATGAAAGAGTAATTAAGATTAGTGTAAACTATTTGACATTTGTTAATGTTGACCAACGTATTAACTTTTGTTGAATTTAATTACTCATGTAAAGTGGTATTATCACTTTAGAGAATAAAGTCATCAAATCTTTAATATTTAAACGTTGAATGACTCATATTAACCATAATTGAAATTTCAAAAACTTAAAAAAAAAAGTTAAACTAAATACCCACCAACTAAATTTTTAGAAAAAACTAAACAACATACCTATTATGTTGATGATTATTTTTTGCTGAAAGATCTAATTAATCACTTCCAAAATTTAACAACATATATATTTTCATTCTCAATCTCATTATTTTCATCTTTGAATTTGAGACCAAACCCAATTATACACGAAGGGCACAAAATCACTTAAAATAAACCATTTAAAAATGAATATAAAATCAACTCAAAAAATATTTCTTTCCGACATAACAAGAAAGTGAAAGAAATCTCTGACTTTTTTAATTGACTACGTCAGCGACAACACCACGTTGGTGCCACTCTATCCCTTGGGAGTTTATACACAACTGCTTGTGGTTAACCTTGAGTCCTTGACGCTCCATCATCAACTCCGATTGTCTATTTTGGGCTCAAATCCTTACGATTTTAATTTGAACATCACCCAAAAGACCTCTTAATCAATAGAGACAATTGTATGTATATAAACTCATGTCCATTCTCTTATTTAAATAATTTAGAACTTTGCTTGCATCCCAACAAGAAGAACAAGTACAAAATAATTTTGCGTCTTCCATTTTTCAATTCAATTCAATGGAATGGAACACTTGATTAAGCGATCTCTTTTTTCTTTTTTCTTTTTCTTTTTACATTCCACATGTCTTTTACTACTCATTTTCCAGTTTTCCTTGTTAGTTTCTTCCTTTTCCCATTTTGATGTACGTTTATCTACTACTTAGGATTTTCATGTTTTACTTTGAAAACATCTCCTGTTGTCTCGTACTCCTACTCTCCTTTTTTCGTATTTTTGGCCATTTCTGTTTAATAATAGATTTGACCCTTTATATTAATTTTCAACAAGATCCAACATATTATAGTAGTGAAGTTTCCTATATCAAATAAAATAGATTCAGGATTTTTTTTCTCCACTAGTGGTGTTGGCACTATGAATGAACCATGATATCTTGGCTCGTAATGAAGAGGTTAATTTAAAAGAAACGTTTACACCTAAAGTGAATTGATCAAAAGTAAGTCTCGCAATAGAGGGAACGTGAGCCACAATTATCTCTATCTCTGTTTGGTTCAAAAAGAATGAGTAAATTAATGACAAAATTAAGTTAATCTAATTTATTATTGAATCGTATAATTTTAATATTATATATAATTAAATAATATAAAACAGAAATAAAATAAAATGTATTTTATAATATACATTTCAATTTTTTTTTTAATTCAATATAATACTATAACTATGTTATAGTGTTGTATTGAATATAATACTATAACTATATTATAATGTTATATTGAGTTATAATGTTTTTGTTCATTCTATATTTTTAATTAAAATTTAATAAATTGAAATAATTTTAGAAATTTATATTTTAATTAATATTTTCAAAATTAATAAAAATAGTTATTTAAAAAAATTCATTTGTAAATATTATTTAATTTTTTGTATAAATTCAAAAAAAGAAAAACATTTGATGAATATAAAAAACAATAAAGAAAAAATATTAAAAAAAGTTAGTAATAAATTTCATTTTAATTGTTATTTTATAACATCAATAAAGTATTAAATATATATTTTATTATATTTTTAACTATTTATTATTGAGGAAGAAAATATAAGAACTACATAGATAAGAGAAAATCTAATCAATTTAAAAATATCCATAAAAACACATGCTATGAAGTATAATAAATTCTATGGCATTTAAAACATTGATTATAATTTTTATTTCGCAAAGCCCTTAAATGCATGTCAAATAAAATGGAAAGAAGTGAGTATTAATATAAGCTACATATGTTCGAATTCATTAACTACTTAATTATTTAAACTCATATGTTTGACTGACAAACAAGCTAGTTAGACTTAATATCTCATTGAAGTTTCTCATTAAAGATTTGTACATACGTGTGTATCACTTGGATAATTGAAATTTTATTTATCATATTTTCTTAAAAAAACATAAATTTATTTATTTATTTATCATAAGTTCATAACACACTGATGCATGCGCACACGTAAATTATATTTGGATAATTGTAATTTTATTTATAACATTTTCTTAAAGGTACATAATTTTTTTTTGGTCGAAACACATACACATGTACACCATTAATTAAGGTCATCTTAAATAGATGACAATATATTTTCCGTAAGAAAAATGTTAAAGATCAAATTCGTTTAACATTAATTAAGTCATCTTTATGAATATAAAAAATTATATTTATTATTATTTTAATTTTTAAAAATTAAACATATTTATTAAATATTAAGTTAATAAAACTAAATTTTATACAAATAAAAATTGATAAAAAAGATAATAAAACTATAAATAAATTAAAGGGCTCTAAGCTTCCAAAATTTTAACCAAAGAAACACTCAAGTTTTAAATTTCACTCGTTTGAATATTAAATGAGTTAAATTTGAGTAATGTTCATTTTCCACAAATCATGCTTGCTTGTGAATGTCAAGTGTTATATTTGATTCAACTCATTTTCACCTTAGACACAAACTAATTAAATTTTAATCAATTTGAATTCAGTGCAACGAGATATCCAGTAAGTTATGTTAGAAGTATATCTGATATACTGTATCTAGATATATATAGAACTTATGAACTTATGATATTGCTTTTCCATGCAAGACGCGTCAGATTATAATGAATATCATTTGAAATACTTAGCTAATAAAGTCTCGACATAATTAACAAATTTAAGCATGTTGATAAGGATTAAAATGGAGACACTTTTTATTAAATGATTAATAAATTAAACAATAATTTTTGAAAAAATAAAACAGAATAACGTTATACGTACACGCCATTAATTTGTGGATCATGGTTCATCAAAAAGAAAATTTATACTGTCCAGCAATTTCCTAATCAATTTTTTTTTTCTTAGATAGTTAGATCCATATATAGGATGTGCTCTCATCATACATAATTGCAAGTCCAATTACTACAAATAACTGTTAATAGTAATTATTTAACCAGAAAATCCATCGTTCTCACAAGGCTGATGTATCCTAGCCAATTTATTCATACCTCTTGTTATGTTGTATGAAATTCCTGGTTAGTTATTTTAGCACAAATTTCCTGATCAGTAATGTAGACATGTAGTTAAAAACGTTCAATATAGAACTGACACTGTGACACAACACAAGTGGAAGATAATAATCAGAAAGCAAATGACTCGTATATCTTTGACTTTGGATCTAACCACATAATGATATAGATAACAAAGACCAAAACAATAATAATATGTCGCTATCACTCCTCTGGCCTACCCCAATATTTTGTTGCCACTTCAAAGTGGAATTCTTGTGTTTGCAGTGTAAAACGCGAGCCATTTATATGCAACTTCTTAGCTGTTTCTCCACGTAAAAGAATTACTGTAGATCATATGGTTTGAAGTTTGAACACGACGAGAAGCCTTTGAATCCCAACAACTCTCCGTGTCTTTGTCAACTAACAAGCCCATGGCCAAAACCAGAAGAACAATATCCACATGCGCCCCTTGATTTCACCTCCCCCATTATTTGACTAATTACATATCCCACCTCTAAAAAAAATACAATACAATAATCAAATCTATTGTTTTAAGTAGTTGTAAAGTCTGTTCTAGAATATAAGATTCTCTTTGATACTCAAAAAATCAATTTATACAATGTTAAAATAATGTTTTATTATAAAGTCATGATATAATAAAGTCATGATATACAAACACAAATTAATTTTATTACAATTTTCCTCCTTACCCATCCACCCACGTACCCACCACACTCTCTATATATATACACATACACTTTCCCCTTGCACTCAAATTTCTCGGCATAATCTCAACCCTCTCCACCTAAGCCTTCAACACATTTCTAGTTGAAAAAAAAAATATAAAAAAAGCCCAATCTCTCACGTATGATATACAAATAAATCATTGTGTTATAATTTGTTATATCCAAGTCCATACAATTTCTCATTTTAATTTGTTGATATAGTGAAGAGAAGAAATAACAGCAATATGGAGATTCACGAAAACCAACAAGAGTCGTGGTCGGAGACGGAGAGCACGGGAAGCCGAAGCATGCAAGTGGGCTTCAGTGGGCCTCTGAGCGGGCCTTTGAGCGGGCCGTTAGTTTCCAACAAAAGGAACGGCAGCAAGAACAAAAGCGCGAGGTTCAAGGACGAGGACGACATGGTGGAGATAACGCTGGACGTCCGCGACGACGCCGTCTCGGTCCAGAACATCCGCGGCGGCGACTCTGAGACGGCGTTCCTGGCGAGCCGCCTCGAGATGCGGCCGTCGTCATTCTCCGGCCGCCTGAGACAGGTGTCGCGGGAACTGAAGCGCATGACGTCGAACAAGGCTTTCGATAGGGTTGACCGTTCCAAATCCGGTGCTGCACGTGCCCTACGCGGTCTCAAGTTCATGACCAAAAACGCTGCAGGAACTGAAGGCTGGTCACAGGTTGAGAAGCGCTTCGATGAGTTGGCCATTGATGCAAAACTCCCCAAGACTCGCTTTAGCCACTGCATAGGTATACTAGCTTCTGATAGTTGAGTTTAAACATGGCAACAAAAATAAAATTCCTTTACTATATCTACTAAAAAAACTTTGTTAGAAAAAATAAAATTAACTTTCGTCATTTTTAGGTCTTTAAAGGAATTAGTCTTCAATTAGTTAAAATACATAGTTAGCTCACACATATTAAGAAACTCTTGCTAGCTAGAACTAATTTTTGGTGGAAATGATGACAACTAGGGATGAACGAGTCGAAGGACTTTGCCGGAGAGTTATTCGATGCATTAGCTCGTCGTCGTGGCATAACATCAGCTTCCATAACCAAGGATCAGTTGCGCGAATTTTGGGAGCAAATTACAGATCAGAGTTTTGATTCGAGGCTTCAGACCTTTTTTGACATGTAAGACTTCATTTCAGCATCATTTTTACTTAATTCTAATTTCATTTTCATTAGGAAGTTCATGTCGCTATGGTTGTCCATTCGAAATATCTAACAAATAATATAACAACTCTTTTTGTCTTTATACCGAAAAATGACTTGTATAATTAGGATATGCATGCCAGAAGTGATTATATTATTTTTCTAATTTAATTAGGCAGCTTGAAAGAGATGGGTTTTGTAACTTTGTTGGCTTCAACATGTAGATATATAATTATTTTCTTGGTTGGACGAATGTCAAAGTAGGGTGCTCAGTTTTCAAATGATGATATAGAAAATCGTTACTGAGTGTGGAGTCCCTTTATAATTTTTCTCTATAAGACTTCGAAAGAGCAATACCGCGTTTTGCGGAATCTGCATGTGATATCATATGTGTCGTATAACTGTTTGTTAATTATTTGATTAAAATATGGTATCAGGGTTTGATAAGAAATTTTTTTGGCATTTGATCATAATTGTTTTCTTTAATCTTTCTTTTGAAAATTAAAAACATATTATTTGAAGTGAAATTATTTTATTTGTTCAATTGGATGAATATATAGTTTGTACATTTTTTATATAGATCATTATCCATTAAACTTTTGTTTCTTCTTTTGGTTCGAATTATTTGATTCACTATTCAACTTTCACATGAGCAAACTAGCTAGCTATATTGGATAAATGAACGAATAAAGACAAAACAGCAGTATATGCATGAATTAACTAACCAATGGTTAAAGTTGGTTGACTATAATTAATTAAGAAAAACATAAATGGAAAGCAGCTATATTTGAAGATTTACGTAAACATATCTTAGTCATAAATGTTTTTAATTAAGCCAAATACAAGAAATGTTACATCTTAATTGATTAGGTCTACATGCAATTTTGGTTACTTATAAACCTTACTCATGCCAGGGTGGACAAAGATGCTGATGGGCGAATTACTGAAGAAGAAGTAAAAGAGGTAAGAGCTTATTATTAAATGGTAAAATTTTAGAAAAGTCCCAATTTAACATTTACTTTTATTATTAATTATTAGACCAAATATCTAATTATGGCTCCAAATTAAAATTCTACTTTTCTATAGATTTTTTTTTTTTAATTCGAGACTTGTGGAGGCGTGAGCATTAATTTTTGTATGATTAATTTTGCAGATTATCACCTTAAGCGCTTCAGCTAACAAGTTGTCAAAATTACAAGAACGTGCAGAGGAATATGCTGCCCTTATCATGGAGGAGCTGGATCCGGACAATCTTGGATACATTGAGGTTTATACTTAACACATAGATACATTCGAAACAAATTAAGTTAACTAGTTGGAAATAAGTGGTTTGATGATGGTGTTTTAATATGTTTAATTTTGTCATATATTGTTTTTATATTCCTATATGTGCTCGGTAGGTAAGTATGCTTCATGCTCGACCATTGGCCTTGGTTGCGCTTTTTTTCTTTTTGGGTCAATAATTGGGTTGCTTTTTCTTTTGCTGAAAATTTTTGCATCCAACAGAGGCCGCGTGTTTTCAGCTGGCCATTTAGCACATAAGAGCATGTGCAAAGGTTGCTTATAAGGCAACTCCATGTGTCACGTCACGCACATAAGAGCATGTGCAAAGGTTGCTTATAAGCAACTCCATGTGTCACGTCACTGTCACATCAGTTCTGATCCGTTTTATGGGTTGTTTAAATTTTAGCAAAGTTACTTATATAAGTAATTTTGCTAAAATTTAAATAACTCATAAAGTGAGCCAGAACTGATTTGGCAGTAATGTAGCACAGGAGGTTAATTTAAATAACCTATAAAGTGGGTCAGAATTGATTTGGCAGTAATGTGGCACAGGAGGTTGCTTATAGAAGCAACTTTGCTAAAATTTAAATAACCCATAAAATGGGCAAGAGCTGATTTGGCAGTGATGTGACACATGAGGTTGCTAGATGCTCTAAAACTGACCATTTCATCCATTGACGGATCCATTAAGAGGAGAGTGGGGGCACATGCCCCCACTACCATTATATATATATATTCAAAAAATAATATATTTTTAATAATAAAAATTATATTCTAATAAGATAAATATATATTTAAATTATCATATGTATAAAATATAAATTTAAAAGAGTTGTTCATTTATTTGATATTTATCAAA